CTGACTACTTTTATAGTTGAAGCAAGAACACGCGATCCTGTCATGAAAATTATCTGGTGGATTTCCAAATTCAAATTAAAAAGTCATTCTATGTTCTAAGGAACAAAACTTAAAGCTTAGAAACTTGCTTAGTAATTCGAGAATTCCTATAATCTCAGTTTAGGTATTAGGGTCCATGCATTAATTATGTCACGCTAAATCAAGCATAAATTTACCCTCCCCGTATCTTGACGTTTTTCCTATACCTAATGCATTGCTTGTCATAAAATCTTAGACCCCCCCCCCCCTTAGAGCGTGACATAATATATGCATCAAGCCTTATTAGTCCTATTGAGAATCAGGTTGCTCGGGATTATATGAATTTTTTTTTCTCGGGAATATAAATAAATCCTCCTATAAAGGGTGATACGATCAAAATTTGGTCAATATCAACTTGACGTATTTCTTTCAATTTTGCATTTAAAAAACCTGAACACCCCTCATTTTGAAGGTGTGTGTGTGTGTAGAATGTTGCTCCTATTTTGATTTTGGAATTCACTCTTCAGTTGTCAAAATGCCGTCCAAGCAAGAAGAGCAGCGTATCAAAATTTTGCTCGCGCATCGCGAAAATCCGAGCTACTCGCACGCAAAGTTGGCAAAATCGCTAAAAGTTGCCAAATCAACCGTTACAAATGTAATTAAAGTGTTTGGGGAACGTTTGTCGACAGCCAGGAAGTCTGGATCGGGAGGAAATCGAAAACCGGAAGCCGCTGAGACGATAAAGAGAGTTGCCGGTAGTTTCAAGCGAAACCCTAACCTCTCTCTCCGAGATGCCGCAAATAAGCTGGGTGTATCGTCTACAACCGTGCATCGAGCCAAAAAACGAGCCGGACTATCGACTTACAAGAAGGTAGTGACTCCAAATCGCGATGATAAACAAAATACGACGGCCAAAGCGCGATCCCGGAGGCTGTACACGACGATGCTGACGAAGTTTGACTGCGTGGTAATGGACGACGAAACCTACGTCAAAGCCGACTACAAGCAGCTTCCGGGACAGGAGTTTTATACGGCAAAAGGAAGGGGAAAGGTAGCAGATGTTTTCAAGCACATGAAACTGTCAAAGTTCGCAAAGAAATATCTGGTTTGGCAAGCCATCTGTACCTGTGGCTTGAAAAGCAGCATTTTCATAGCTTCCGGGACTGTCAACCAAGAAATTTACGTGAAAGAGTGTTTGAATAAACGTCTGCTGCCTTTCCTGAAGAAACACGGTTGTTCCGTACTGTTTTGGCCGGATTTGGCATCTTGCCATTACGGTAAAAAGGCCATGGAGTGGTACGCCGCCAACAACGTGCAGGTGGTTCCCAAGGACAAGAACCCTTCCAACACGCCAGAGCTCCGCCCAATTGAGAAATACTGGGCTATTGTCAAGCGGAACCTAAAGAAGACCAAAAAAACTGCTAAGGGCGAGCAGCAGTTCAAGGCAAACTGGCTTTCTGCGGCGAAGAAGGTGGACAAAATCTGATGGCAGGGGTCAAGCGTAAGGCCGGGCAATTCGGATTTGGAAAAGCGGAAGCCTAACTGAATATTTTTCCTGAATTTTATACTAATTGAACTTGAAAAAGAAATTTAATTTGATTTTTTAAATAAACGATTTCACCGATTTACACGCGTTTTCCCTTGACCAAATTTTGACCGTATTACCCTTTAAACAGGAAATCCAGACATTGCTTGAAGAATAAACTTCCGATATTTAAACATGCCTCCCTGGTACAATACTACCGAGGTACATAGAATTTCAAATGTTGAGACTTTAGAACAAATGTCAAGCAAAATAATAGAGAATTTCGGGCAAAGGAATGCAACGATTAATTCCCTTCATATTTTGATAAGATTATTTTCGCAAATTTTCTCACACACACGTCTCTTACCGATGATATGTGCTAACCTCCCAAGTAACAATTCAGTAACCATTTGGCATCCACTCTGATTTATGATGGTTTTATAACGGGAATGAATAAACCATTTAGTATAAATACAGCATTTCAAAGTGTAAAACATTCCTGCTTAGTAATTCAGCTTTCTGCTATTTTAAAACCTTTTATAGTCTGGCAAGAAAGTCAAAAACTATCTTATTTTAAAAATCAATTTAAAACAGTTCTCAATCCCTCCTTAAAACTGCTCTGTAATTCAAGCATAAATGTCATTAGCAATTGTTTATTAATGTATTGATAAAATACTTTATAACCGTGTTCTATCATTATAAAAGCAACCATAAAACCATTAGGTTTTGCATAAGAGCAAAGAGCATTTATTGTTGCTTTTTAGGCTGTTTAAAGTGCATCATAAACTCCCCAATTACTCTGTTTACAAATTAAGCTTAAAAGATGGTTCCTCATAGTTAATAAAAGCCAAATTTATGACAAAGAAATCTGGAAGGATAGACGAAGTAGGATGAAAAATTCAAGTCGATTTCAGCAAAATTTACTTCTTTAGAAGAACCAGCACATCATCAATGACTGACAATCGAAATAACAACCGACAGCAAACCACTGAAACTGTTAGTTAGCGGAAATTAGCTGGTTTCCGATCCATAGCAGCGATTTTATTCGGCGAAAAAATCAACTCTTCGAAAATTCCATTCAAGCGTACATCCCTGCATCGTTGCATGGTGCACTTCTGTAACCATCCGGAAGAAGGGGATCTTTTTCGGTTCGCAAACTATCTGAGTAGCTAACTCCAATCCATCGGGAGAAAACTGCCTAGAAGAATCCTGGGTCGCACAGCGTAACTAAATATCGAAAGATAAACAAACTTTGACGTTTAACTTTTTTCAGACAACTTTGCCTCCATAAATGCTGCCTTAAATCTGAACGGGTTAGGATCAAGCAAAATGGCTTTAGATAAATACAATTCAGGTTGCAAGTTTTCGTCATAAAAGCCATTTTAAAACCTTATGAATTTGTTAAGGATTTCTTGAAAGCAAAACAACTTATTCACAAATGACCATGAAAATCAACTTTTATGCCAACGCCATGTTACAATTAGTTTGCTTGTTTTTTACAAGCTTCGATTTTCTTTATATAGTTCCTTGGATATAACTATATTTTTGGTAAATTTAGCAATAAGCAAACATTTAAATACGAAAAAAAAAATCTCCGCCTGCCTCGATCTGAAGAATATTTTTTTTTTCAAAGTAAAATAAATAGTCAAATCGACGTTTTACGAAGGCAGACGTATTTTTTTCGATGTTTTCACGTACATTTCACATAAAATTTAATTAGGCACTTGAAACTAGGCCACCTAATGAGAACTATGTATTCTAATAAATTTGAATATTCAACAAGATTTTTATACCATCAGTTTCTATTTTAATTATTTTGATAAGATCGGATTCATAAATCTTTTTCTATCTTGATAAATGCTTTCCTAGTAGATTGAGCAAGCGGCTAGGAGAAATGGCTCGGAAAGGGTTTTTATTGTTGCTAAATAGCTTTTGTTGTAGCTTTCAAATGGTTCTCAATGCGTTCGTCATACAACCTTTTGCAGTAAATCAATCTTGAAGAGCTTTGAGAATACACCCTTCAGAATCTTCTCCAGGGTGGGCCAACTAGACATATTCTAGTCTTAATGAGGTTTTGGTGGATGCATTAATGACAAAATAGCCTTGACCAGAGTTTTATGAATGTTGTTTTATAGTTGTTTTGTAGTATTTCATAAAATTTAAAATGTTACTTGGGCTCTCAGTATGTTCAAACTTTCTTACAAAAGATAAGATTTAGTTTTTGTTTTTAATTTTACGATGTCTGTTACTGACAGGTACAGAAAACCTGTTTAAAATACTGAATTGCCACGGTAGTAACTATGAAAAAACATTTAGATATATATCATAGCAATTAAGGCTGGTAAGTTACTGTAGTAGCTGGAGCACCTAGGTTATAATGAAATGTAATGTAATTTTAATTTGGAACAAATAAAATGCTAAAAGAGTAGAAAGTTAAAGCATCTCAGTTTGGTTGAAAAATGTGATTTATTGATTGAAAACTTGTTGCCGATTCGTTCAAGCATTAAGATCTTTCACCGCAGTAGTCAGAACTACTTCAAACTAGAGGAACAGGATTGTTTTGTAATGAAAGGTACACATTGTAGTCCTTTTTTAATGTGTATGTCTTGTTGATAGTTACATGACTCGGCTTTATCCACCGAGGATAATTTTGAAACATGGAAAACATTAATTATAGGTTGTTATGTTTCATCTATGTGATAACTAATTGTTTCAATCAAAGTGTTTTGTTACTTCATACGTGAAATTTGCGATTTTCAGAGTTGGGAGAAAATGCTATACTAATATTAACATGAAGCTTTAGTGTGATCTAGCTAATAAATTATCACTCTAAAGCTCCATAATCTCAAGGGTATAAAGAGCGAGACCTTTCAATTAGAATCGATTCCTTGCGATGAAGGCAAGAATGACAACTGTATCAAAACCAAATACTTCATCTTTTCTCAATAGTGATGGAGTAATACGACATGCACTAAACTAAGGACACGGGGTATACCACAATTGATCAAATAACTGGTCGCAGTGGATTTATGTCCCGAACAGAGGAAATAAAAAGTTTATTTAGAAAAAGAATGGATCATATAAAATTGAGAATGTAATATGAGGTCAACTGGACACTACGAAAGGGCTGAACGAATCAGAGGAAAACCTAACTAATCTATAAACCTAATAAATGCAAGTCAATCGAACAACTTTTTTTGATTACATATGATCATACATCCAATATTCACCAATATTCTGCCCCTCTTCGCATCTTGGACCCATAGTCGTTTTGGTAAAATCTGAGTTTTTCAATGCAAATGGTAGCTAATCACCCATATTTTCGTAACACTGGATGAACTCAACTACTTTGTTCTGAAAAAGTTTGGAGAGACAGCCAAATGGTACGGCTGATTTTCGCTATGGGACGGACATGCGAAGAGTGACAGAATAGCTAATAACCAATTCACTAACTCACCTCCTTCATCTGTCATCACCAGTACCGTGGTAGGTGGTCCCAAACCTTCCGGATTGAACACCTGTATCGACGCAAGATATTGGGTGTACGTTTCAAGTTGATGGATCTCGTGGCTCTGAAAGTACGGAGAAAATAGAAACACTGGTTATCGCACTACATTTTTTGGACTGCAAAAAAAAATCATCGCTCCTTTTCCCTTATCGAGAGAGATGTTCTCGAAGATCCAGAACCGTCTGGGTTGTTATCCTTCCGGGATAAGTTTTACCAGTTTTGAGTCTTGGGTCACCCGTGGAGCAGGTACGTGTTGGAATATTTATGTTATACTTTGGGATGGAGGTATAAATATCGCTTAAAATTAATCTGCTCCTTTCCAGAACCATCCCCAGTACGGTCTCTTTATTACAGCTTCGCTTTATGGCTAAATTCATAGCTACCCAATGCACGCAAAGCAAACATAAATCTCAGAGAAATTTAAGAAATTTAAAACAGTTTCCACGTAGCGTTTACGGTGACGACGAAGACCACGGCGACGGTAGTTATTGTAGTTCTGCAAAGTGGTTTTATACTTTTTGGGAAAGCAAAAAAAAAAATCCGGAGGAAGCTTAAGAAGGAGGCTTCATTTGGAACACCCCCTGCATGTGTGTGTATGGCAAAAACAGTTCTGCGGGTTTTTGGGACTAGGGTGTAGGCTAAATTCAACCACCAGATGGGAAAACTTTATGCGGATAGGAACAAGATATTCCACTTCTAGCCCCATTCTGAGTGTGCGATATGCGATAGGGTTTCGGCGAAACATGAGAGAAATTAGAGAATTACAACTCCCGTTATGGCTTTCCACCAAGGCTCGCACACATCATGTAAGGGGAACGAATTTAAATCATAATTACGCCACAGATTGCTTCTATCGCTATAAGTTTTAATTCATCGTGCTAATGTTTGTTGTTGTGTTGCTTATTTGGGCTCATCGGGTCGGGTTAAACTTGACTGAAAACAAAGCGAGGATGGCCTATTTCACACAAATACATTTCACATAATGACCGCTTAAAAAAAATTATTCGGAAAATGAAAGTTAAGAATAAAATACAAGGTGGCAGAGCCGTACTCAGGATTTTCGTTTAGGTGCCGAAGTCTCAGTTTTGCACCTCTCATCCTAGCTCATTCACATTCCATAAGTATAACGTAAAAGAGACATCGAGATATCACAACAAATTATCACTATTATACCTGTTTTTACTGACATTAACTGGGACTTATTCAGCACAGGGATGCCAGGTGTATTTTCAAAAAAATCTTTAACGAGATTAACTTTTTGTAACGGCACAAATACTTTAGTAAACAAAAATTGTAACGCCCTTTACACGCGAACCGAAAGACGTCCACACAAACCAATACTACTGTTGGAAAGGGGAGAATTTTCCCTATACGATGATTGTTAGGCATGACATGTCTTTACCGCTGCTTTTAAAATGTGTGTGTGTGCGCAGGGGGAAGCAGTTCAATGTTTCTGATTTATGAAACCATGTATTCCCAGAAGTGCAGGGACCTTCTTAGAAGTCAAGGACAATTCAAAAAGTTAAGTGAACCTAATTTGATTTCAGAGAACTTTGTAGGAGCTCGAAGAACTTTTTAAAAGTAAAGGGAACGTTGTAGGATTTCGAGAAACTTCATAGATTTTCAAGAAACATCGTAGACCTATATAGATGAAGATGCTTATTTTAAATAACAGACAAAAGTGGTAATTTTTATACGATAGATGAGGAGATGAAATTATAGAATTGATAGTTCCGTTAGAGTACGGCAGTGTGAAAATTGCATATAGAGAGTAGAAAGCGAGCAATGACAACTTTTTAGGAAGGTACAAATCGGTTTTGATCATCTCTCTTTACCAAACTCCCCCGTTGGAGAGGGATGGTGAGGGGTATTCCCCTCCCCACGACTGGCAAAAAGAGACGATCGCCGATTCGCTCATGTACCGACGATGTGACACTGTTTCAAGTGCTATCAATTTTTACCGCACTCAAGTTGTTATCTGAAGGAAGGCATACAGCCGTAGGTTTGGAAATTGCAGCTATTGTTACCTCTACCACGGTATGTGCTCCTGTCATCGTCGACTTGACGATCTCGAGGCACACGGGTAGGTGCTGCTACTGTACCTTTCGACCAATGAGGTACAGTAGCAGCACCTACTTTCTATACTTTCATCTCCTCATCTATTGCATAAAAATTACCACTTTTGTCTGTTATTTGAAATTAACATCTTCAACTATGTAAATCGTTGACTTCACGCAGAAGTAATACTAAACATATAGTCAAACTTCGTAGACCTTTCGAAAACTTTTTCGACTTAATTGAGTTGTAGTAAATTTTATGACCAGGACAAAGAGAACTTCACAGAATTTTGCAGACCTAACTTGAGGTAGTTTTATAGTTGACTACTGGCTATGTATATGTATACTAGACTAGACTAACGTCAGCAAATTGTATAGAAGTTCAGAGATCTTTGTGGAACTTCATCAAACATTGTTGAAAATTTGCAAACCTTAGAGAAATTAAGAGAATTTTGTAGAAGGGGAACTTCGATGAAGCTCAAGGATTTTTCTTAATTTTCATTATACTTTTCAAAACTTCTAGGATTTTGTTCAGAGGACATCGTAAAAATTCAGGAAATTTAATATTAATTGAGGATAGTTCGTAGAGCTTCAGAGAATATTGAACAAATTCAGGATGCTCTGTAAAAATTCTGGAAAGTTTTTGAGGATTGGGAACCATGCACAAGTTTAGGAAATTTCGTTGAAGTTTAGTTTAGTTTAGTTTTATGAAACTTCATAAAAGTTCTATTAGTTTCAGAGCACATCTTTAAAGTTTAATGGACTTTAAATAGAGCAGTAATTTCAGGAAACCTTGCAAAACTTCAACTAAATACAAATAAGTTCAGGTAACTTTGTAGAGCAGCGAACTTGAGAGGAATTCAAAGAACTTTGTAGAAGTCAAGCACATGGAACTTCGTAAAACTTCATAGAAGTGGAAACTCATAGAAGTTCCGCCAAAATTGTAAAAGCTCAACGAACTTCGTAGATGTTTAGATAATTTTGAACTACAAGGTTTGATTTCTAATCTAATCTCTAATGTAATACAAACGCAGCCAGTACGAGAAAGCATTCTGAAAAATGATTAAGTTAGAAAAGGCATAATCATTTTTCTGGTCAATAGTGATATTTGCAGCATATATGAGATATGACACAAATATCAAAACGGCCAAGCGTTGCATTTGCCGCAAAGATGATTCTTGGAAATGAACGGAGTTCAAATAAAAATATTTAAACTACGAAGCATTTCTTAAATCTACAGGTGTGGAAGGATGCGTGGACATACCGTACCAAACGCTTCGAGTTATATGAATATGATTACAATAATAATTTATCGTAAATATAATGTTAGACATAACAATGGAACGCTCTCACCATATGTCTCCTATGTTATCCATTATGTCATACTGTTGATTGCAGACAGAAGGCATTGAAACTCCACAAAACAGGTGGTAACAGAACGATCGCGGTACTGGTCTCACTTCATAATACACTGGAGTCGCTTTTTACGCGGTTTTTTTTACACGGTTTTTTTACGCGGTTTTTTTTTACGCGGATTTCGGAATTTACGCGGTTTTTTTTTACGCGGATTCCGGAATTTACGCGGTTTTTTTTTTACGCGGATTTTGGTTTTTTTTACGTGGATTTCAGAATTTACGCGGTATATCGCTTTTTACGCGGTTTTTTCTTACACGGTCTTTTTTTACTCGGTTTTTTTTTACGCGGATTTCGGAATTTACGCGGTTTTTTTTACGCGGATTCCGGAATTTACGCGGTTTTTTTTTACGCGGGACGTATCACCCGCGTAAAAAGCGACTCCAGTGTATACACATAACAGTGTGACCGATTCTTCCTCTCCCACAGGAGAAAATACTAAACTTCCATCGAAACTGATAAGAGCGGAAAACTGAACCACAGCTCAAAACGAGCGGAAATCCATTGAAAATACGCTTGGATATATCCCTTCGTTTCGCCATAAGATCCTATAGCCACGCACTTTTCTAAAAACAAATGTTATTGAGTAGCAGAGTGCCCGATGTTTAAGAAAATTCGTCGAGAAGGTTCAAAGTCTTTCTTGAAGTTCAGAGAGGGACATTAATGTTCTGAGATCTTGGCCAAATTGAGATAAACATATGACTCTCTGAAAGCGGAATTGAAGGGTTTGATGTGTCAAACACACAATTTTCAATCTCTTCTTGTAACTTACAAGTTCTAAATATCATTATAGCATCAAATGATTCCATAATTTCGACATCAACAATTTATAGTGTGTGGAAGTTGTAAGCTGCGGCTTACCTGCCAGCCTATAGCGGGCGGCCTCGAGCAAGGGTACTTCCCCCAAGGACGTTCGGATTTGGGTGAAACAAAACAACGAAAAGAAATGCAATTTTAGACGTCTATACGCCTTTTTAATGCACCACCAACGTTGAGTGCGCCACGCGAATTCGAGAAGAAACGTCAACCAAACCGTTTGTTTACATCAGAATAAGTATTTTCTCCAACGCAAAGAACAGCATTTTTCATTCAAAATCTTGCCAATTTCCATCGGCAATTGTCTTATTGTACGATTTTCCACAAATCTGAACTGGTTTGCACCTTAACTATTCACACACAAGAAATCCGGAAGATCATAACCACTAAGGCACTTTTCTAATTGTTCATTTTTCTCAACAAAAATATTCCTGAACACCAGCAGGATCTTTTCCAAAACGTGACAGAATTAAATTTTTCAACTGTACATTAAGTTTTGCAGCATCTCAGATGAATCAATTTATCAGGAAAAAGTAAAAAAGTGTTCCGCTTCCTATGTCTCAAGGCAAAAATTTATGCTCACAACCAGCGTTGCCAGTATTCCAGATTTATCTGGATTTTCCAGATTTTTAGTCGTCTTGCCAGATACACAGACAGACTACGTATATTTCCAGATTTTTGAAATATGTTCCAGATTTTCCCAGATTTTTTAAACATGTTGCTTTAAAAATATCACTGCAATTGATTTATATGGTAAAAATTAAAAGCCAAACTTGCT